AAATTTTAGAAACACTGGCAAATTTGTTGACGATCGACGATTGTATGTGGTGCGATACAAGGTGAGTGGCGCTGGTGTTCTGTAGTGTCGAATTTCTTTTGTCTTCCATCCAGTATTCAATCATGGATAATGGATAATATTCAGTCGGTGAATATAACGGGTCTGACATTAAACCGTGGATAATCTCCTAACAATATGAATTTTCTTTTTTGTTTAGACTTCCGGATTCCGTAGTCTAGGAGATGTTAGTGATTGTGCACGTATAGAAGAAGAAACCTTTCATGGTGTGTAGAGAGGTGTCCACGCAGAAAATCAGAGTGAAAAGAGAAATTTGGAGACGATTTTTCATTTTGGAGATTTCGGTGTGTTTGAAGAGAAATTGCGGTGAAATTTTGTGGTGAGATGTGCTAACATCTGAGAAGAGGAAATTTTAAAGATTGTTGCTGAATGATTGGGTGCATGGAATAGCGTTCGGAATGAGCAACGATGTGCTGCAAGAGGTGTCGCAGANCGAAATGCTCACCATGCGTGGTGCGTTGTTGAAGTCGTTCATGAGACACTCACTACCGAAAAAGTTGGTCGTTGAATCGATGCCGCCATCGAATATGCAAAAATCGTCGAATCTACAAAACCAATCGGCATCCGCAACAGACACTTCGCGTAAGCAGAATCGTTGAATTGTTTCATTTTGGTTGTTGTTTGAAAGATGTGAAATGTGAATGAATTACCCATGAAATTGGATAGAATCGGAAAATGTGCAGATATTTTGGAACTTAATCACTTGTGTAGAAGGCGACTCCACTTTGCTGATGTGCTATGGTCCTCTCTACCGTGATGGCTGCACATTTTCCGCAAATGGAAATCTGTCGTTAGCTATCATACTTAGCGAATCTATCCAATTTCATGGACTATTCCGTGCAGATTGGACAACTACTTTGGAAAGTTTATGAATTAATGCAGTAGTTTCATTTATTGTATCGAACAAGAATGACTTAATATTTTGCATGTATACATGCCCGGCAAATACGGTTTTTGATGTGAAATATGATGAGTGAAGCG